AATTACAGGCCTCTCTCATCTTTTTAAGTGGGAGAACATGCACAATTGGTGGCTGACTAAATACTTTTTTTCCCCACTGTATATATATATATATATATGTGACGTTTGATTGATAACTACCTATATATTTAGGCTGCTTTTGTAAATTCACTCTGGCTATCTAACATTACTCCGATTTCAGAGCTCTTGTCTGAGTGTTTCAGAGCGCAGAATAATTGACTAATTTATGAACGTGCAACACCCATTCAATATGACCGGTGTCAGTAAATGTAGGCAAAAAAACGTTATTAAATTGTTGCCAGCAGCACAGTTTCAGTCATCAACGCTCTAGATAAAAATGAAAACAGCCTAACCAGCTCTGCTAAGGCGAGTAAAATGATCAGTGAGGTGTTCTCTCACTTGTGTCTGGAAGTAGCTTGCTTGCAAGCTAGCCAACATTAGCCAGTTTGCTTGACTGCCCTTGTGAGGTCAGAACGCTCCGCTCAACCCTACAACCCTACTCCTCCGCCAGAGCGTCCAATGGGCGCTCTGAATTTACGAACGGACATCTGAAAACGCTGTGAATTTACGAACGCCCAGAGCGCACTCTGGCACTCCAGATTGAATTTACAAACACACCCTTAGAGAGTTAGGCCAACTTTTGGAATGTATAATATTCTTCTAATTCTAGACATTCAGTTACATAGCATTGTTTAAATATTCCCCATGTAATGTCAATGGAATGTCTGCCATAGAATGTTGAAGTGTCATGTAAATGCAACAAAATGCAGAAACCTCATTGGCCCAACTCTGTAAATACATGGCTCTGGGTAGGCCTATTTGAGATGCTTACAGAGAGTTCGCGTGGAGCTGTGGGTGAAGTAAGTGGGAGCTGTGGGTTGGGAAGTTGTTTTTACTTCCACCCCTGTTCAGTCATAAAGATTCTACCCTATGAAACCCTTGTGTCATCATAGGTTGTGTAATGCATTGTTCATACTGTATATTGGAAAAGATTAATAAAACCTCTTCTAAAAAGATTTGCCACTGTATTACAGACACACTTTACGGTAGGCCATGGGATGCATAATTAACAAACTACACTATATATACAAAAGTATGTGGACATCCCTTCAGATTAGTGGCTTCTGCTAATTCTATTTAAAAAAAAATCTATAAAATCAAACACACAGCAATGCAATCTCCATATACAAACACTGGCAGTAGAATGGCCTTACTGAAGAGCTCAGTGACTTTCAACATGGCACTGTCATAAGATGCCACCTTTCCAACAAGTCAGTTCATCAAATTTATGCCCTGCTAGAGCTGCCCCGGTCAACTGTAAGTGCTGTTATTGTGAAGTGGAAATGTCTAGGAGCAACAACGGCTCAGCCCCAAAGTGATAGGCCACACAAGCTCACAGAACGGGACCGCCGAGTGCTGAAATGCGTAGTGTGTAAAAATAGTCTGTCCTCGGTTGCAACACTCACTACCGATTTCCAAACTGCCTCTGGAAGCAACATCAGCACAATAACTGTTCGTTGGGAGCTTCATGAAATGGGTTTCCATGGCCGAGTAGCCGCACACAAGCCTAAGATCACCTTGCGCAATGCCAAGCGTCGGCTGGAGTGGTGTAAAGCTCGCCGCAATTGGACTATGAAGCAGTGGAAACGTGTCCTCTGGAGTGATGAATCACGCTTCACCATCTGGCAGTCTGATGGACGAATTTGGGTTTGGCGGATGCCAGAAGAACGCTACCTGCCCCAATGCATAGTGCCAACTGTAAAGTTTGGTGGAGGAGGAATAATGGTCTTGGGCTTTTTTTCATGCTTCGGGCTAGGTCCATTAGTTCCAATGAAGGGAATTCTTAACGCTACAGCATACAATGACATTCTAGACGATTCTGTGCTTTCAACTTTGTGGCAACAGTTTGGGGAAGGCTCTTTCCTGTTTCTGCATGACAATGCCCCCGTGCACAACGCGAGGTCCATACAGAAATGGTTTGTCGAGATCGGTGTGGAAGAACTTGACGTGCCTGCACAGAGCCCTGACCTCAAACCCATCGAACACTTTTGGGATGAATTGGAACACCGACTGTGAGCCAGGCCTAATCGCCTAACATCAGTGCCCGACCTCACTAATGCTCTTGTGGCTTCATGGAAGCACGTCCCCGCAGCAATGTTCCCACATACTTTTGGTCATCTGGTGTATGACATATTTGAAAATCAGTGCCACCTGTTTGTCACCCAAGACAGATTTATATCATTCTGGGGTGAGAATTAGTACATCACTATCACATAAACTAAACCTTAAAGTGATAATGCGAGATTTTGGCAATTTACCCCTTTTTCTACCTACCCAGAGTCAGATGAACTCATGGATACCAGCCTCTGCATACAGTTTATGGAATTTCAAAGTAGTTTTATTAGCCATTGCTAACTATGACCGTTTTTATACTATGATAGATTCTCAAGAGGTATCAAAAAATGACCTACAGCTAGACAATTTACTGTAGTGTAAAGATGCAAACTTCCCAAGTCTCGCCCGCCACCTCCGGAGGTCGCGGGCGAGACTCGCGCAAGAGTCACCCCTCTCCGAGCAGTCGGATGTAAACAGAATTGTCTCTTCAAGTGAAATGCTCCTACATTAAAAACGTTAATAGCAGAGCAATGATTTTGAAACAGCTGAAATGTATTAGCATATTTTGAGGCATGGATTGCTGTCATACCTTATATATCCATAGACTGCTTACAGGGTAAGGAAACCAATATGTAATTTAGTAGTTTGTGTGAACTATCCCTTTAAGTTTTATAATGTTACTAGTTTGTGCTTAGTAGCCTAAGCTATATGCTGCCGTGAGTGCTTAGGTGTGGAACACGTGTAATTGCGGTTATTCTACGAAAAAGGGATATTTTGAAATAGAGCCCATCCACTCAATTTTGAGAGTTGTTTGGCAAATCTAGGTGTTTTAGAAATCTCAGAATCTGTCTGAACTGCATGAACCTGTAGGAAAAAGTTGATTTTTGGTAAACCCTGTTCCCTTCTTTGTCAATTACACACGCTGCGCTGTTCATCAGTCTCTTCATTCACAAGACATTTGATAATATCGTCACCCTACAGACTATTGTCGATTTAATCTTGTCTTTTGGCTACATCTATTATATATACAGTCCACAGGAGGTTGGTGGCACCTTAATTGGGGAGGACGGGCTCGTGGTAATGGCTGGAGCGGAATAAGTGAAATGGTATCAAATACATCAAACACATGGTTCGCTCCGTGTCAGCCCTTATTATGAGCCGTCCTCCCCTCAGCAGCCTCCACTGATACAGTCAGGTCTATCATTTTTGGCACCCTTGATAAAGATGAGCAAAAAAGACTGTATAAAATATATCATTCAAATACTGAGCTATATTGCATGGTATTTTTTTGGTGAAAATTATATTATTTTATACTAACACAATTGCTCAGAGAAAGAGATTTTGTGTAACGAGTAATAAAAAACCCTCAAAAAGACAGGGGTCACAATTATTGCCACCTCTGTTTCAGTACTCCAGCACCCTACCCTTGCGAGGATAACAACACTGAGCCTTTTTCAAAAATGTTTTATGAGATCTTAGACCATTCCTCCATAAAAGATCTTTCCAGATCCTTGATATCCTTTGTTTATGGACTGCCCTCTTCAATTCAAACCACATGTTTTCAATGGGGTTCAAGTCCGGAGACTGAGATGGCCATTGCAAAATGTAGATTTTGTGGTCTATTAACCATTTATTTGTGGATTTTGATGTTTGCTTGGGGTCATTGTCTTGCTGGAAGATCCACTTGCGGCCAAGTGTCAGCCTCCTGGCAGAGTCAACCAGGTTTTTGGCTAAAATGTCCTGGTACTTGGTAACGTTCATGATGCCGTTGACCTTAACAAGGGCCACAGGACCAGTGGAAGCAAAATAGCCCCATAACGTCAAAGATGCACCACCATATTTTAACATAGGTATGAGGTACTTTTCTGCATATGCTTCCGTTTTTCAATGCCAAACCCAACGCTGGTGTGCGTGGCCAAAGAGCTCTATTTTCATGTCATCTGACTATTGCACCGCCTGGAGTTTGGATTGGAACCGGTGCTATGGTCAGATGACATGAAAATAGAGCTCTTTGGCCAAATAAACATGACATTTTGGTATCTGTGATGTACAATGTGTTCTCCATCACTTCAGACTTCCAGGTGGCTATTCTTAAAAAATGGTATTATTACACCTTATTATACAAATGACTAGGCAGTGGCGGAAAAAGTACCCAATTGTCATACTTGAGTAAAAGTATAGATACCTTAATAGAAAGTTACTCAAGTAAACGTGAAAGTCACCCAATACTACTTGAGTAAAAGTCTAAAAGTATTTGGTTCTAAACATACTTAAGTATAAAAAGTAAATGTAATTGCTAAAATATACTTAAGTATCAAAAGTAAAAGTATAAATAATTTCAAATTCCTTATATTAAGCAAAGCAGACGGCACCATTTTCTTGTTTCTAACATTTACGAATAGCCAGGGGTACACTCCAACACTCAAGACATAATTTACAAATGATGCATTTGTATTTAGTGATTCTGCCAGATCAGAGGCAGTAGGGATGACCACGTGTTCTCTTGATAAGTGCGTGAATTGGACCATTTTCCTGTCCTGCTAAGCATTCACCATGTAATGAGTACTTTTTGGTGTCAGGGAAAATGTATGGAGTAAAAAGTACATTATTTTATTTAGGAATGTAGTAAAGTTGTCAAAAATATAAATAGTAAAGTACAGATACCCCAAAAAACTACTTAAGTCAGGGGTGTCAAACGTACGGCCCGCGGGCCGGATCAGGCCCGCAAACGGGTTTAATCCGGCCCACGATGCTTAAAAAAAATAATTGGATGTCGACATGAGACCACCTTTGAGGTCTGTAGACAGACCGTTTCCTATTTTAGTATGAACTATTACTTAAAAAGAAATATCTTTGAACTGCCACAAAATAAATGGTAAGAAGCCTTTTTACAACCAGTTTTTAATTCCGAGAACATAAAATAGTACAAATATCAAGGAAAAGAAAAACAGTCAGCTATTGTAGTCAAAATAAGGGTGCCATTATTCGCAAAGCCAAAACTTTACCAACAGGAACTGGAAGAATAGTGGAAGTTCTAGAGATCAATTAGAAAACATGTCGGTATATTAACCGACAGAATAGGATAGGTGACCATAGCCTTCCACCACATCCAGACACACAAATCTTGCTGACATGGGAACATGACTTGAGCACTAGACTATTTAGAACAGTGTGTTTCCATGATCTGGTACTTTCATAGACAAATACAGAGAACACTTATAATGATTGATGAAATGGAATGGTGCTTGGGGACAACTACTGTATGTCTTGGCATTAACAGGACTAACAGCCATTTTAGTCATGCATTACACCTGCATACCCACTTATTTACAAAATACAGAGGAATTGGATACCTTACATGTCACAGAGAAGCAAAAACAAAACCGCTAAAATATTTTGATTGTTAAAAACAAAGTTGCCCAGGGGGTGTTTTGAAGTCCATCACATAAAACGACTCGCCAAAGGGGCGACCGTTCGTTCATTCATCTTCTTCGCCTTCAAACTCGACTGCCATGCATTTCCTTACTTTCTCTCCGTAGACCTGGAGCGGCTGTGAGAAGGGGAAAAACAGTTAAGCCAGAATGTTAATACAAACTTTCTCTGGAGCATTCATGCACTCTCAGAAAGATGTTACACCGTTGGTCTGTTACCGTTACATACAAGCCACAAGTAAAGTGGTTTCATTGTTGACAAGATATAAGAAATCCTTGCCATTTGTTATAACCCCTCCTGCTTACCTCCTTGATCGAGAGAATGATCTTGAGGGTTTGTGGTTCCTGTCCCGGGACAGAGATCTCTCCCTCTTCCTGTCTCTGGAGAGAGACCTGCATACAGAAGGAACAACAGAATTAACCAAAGCAACCTGAATCTTACCGAGGCCCCTGTTGACAAGAGGATCTAATCATTGACAAGTTTGGAAAGCTGTGTTGAGGGTGTGGTGTGTTAAGAGATCAAATACTTGTCAGAACCATATACATAAAGTTCAAAATTGGGTCCTTTAGTTCACGCTTCCATTAAAAATAATCTGTGTTGATCTTACTTGCCCATAGTACGGCTGTTAACTTTTACAATAACTCTTATGGTTGTCAACATACCTGCTTCGGCTGCGGCTGAAGCTCCTCCTACGTGGGGATCTGGGGAGGGGGGAGTGAGAGGGTGTCAAAAGCAGAGCATGATACATTGGTGGGCCATTGATTCCAAACCCATCCAACCCCCAAATTACCCTGAAGTAAACCATACAGTCCCCACCGAAAACTAGGGAACCAAGTTACTGTCTATTACGCCCCCCAAGGGATGGGAATAGGTGACTGCAGATAAGACATTTGTAATATGAAATTCAGTCATCGCCTCCCATAAAAGGTCATGGGTTAGTTAATACTGCCAGCTGAATGAATGGCAAAAAATGCTTAGGAAAGAGAAGTGCAATTATACCAAATGGGAAGGGGTAAGAAAATGGAGAGTTGTAACATAACTAATGGTCAAAAATCAAGGTTACATATTGAGCACAAGTGCAAAGCACACACAAGATGGGACCACTGCGACCTAAACCAGGGGAAGCACTGATCAGAATAGCTCCTTTGAACAATTAGAAAGACCTTCACAAATTAATAATTTGTTTCTCAAAATGTCCATTCCCCTTTAAATCAACGGATTACAGTAATGTGGGAGAAATACCAATCCTGTTTGATTCAAATAAAAAGAGAACCTTTTAAAAGCAGCTTTCTCTTCACTTTTAAATTTGTAATCAGCAGTGTACTGTATGAAGCAGGTAAAACTTACTAGTCATTTGGTTTTCAACAAGCTAGAAATGACGAAGGGGAGGCAGACTGTAGGCCGGGTAGGCAGATTTGGCTGAAAAGGACTGGCCAGATGCTGCGAGGTGATTAGTTGGCTGGCGGACGGGGGCTGGCTGTGGATTTTTCCTGCTTTTATTGGTTAGCCGAGGGCTGCTGCTGGTAGGTTGCAGTGTAGACATTTGGGGACGTAAAACGCTGATTGGTCGGGAATGTGAGGAGGGCCGCTGCCGATTGGGTTAAAGTTGGAGGAAGAGGCTGAGAACTGCATGCGCAGGAACCAATGGGCTGGTGCAACCTGACGACTGGCCATGCCTGGGTCATGTGACACAACACCAGCCAAGCTGATTGGGGCACGCTGGTCAACGGTCACATGATGCTGAAAGAGGACTAGTTGACTGACTCAGAGGGTGGTGAGAAGAGGCATGGTGATGACTCTGTAACGGGGTTCATTTTATTAATATTAAATGGTCAATAAAAAAAGCAACCTCAAATTGTAACAAAAACAACCAATCTAGCATCATTAAGCTTCCCTCCCACCCAGTTCATAGTGAGGTACTGCTTTGAAATATGAATCACCTACTTCAAAAAGCTAGCTGCGATTTTTACACTTTGCCAAAGCTTAAAATAATCTTGCAAACGGTATAGTACACTTCCAAAACACGTTCAGTGCTTCAGGTAACAGTGAAAAGCTTGCAAGCCAAAATTTCATTTCACACTGTACCCAACCCCTGAATCTAAAGTAACCTGGAAGTAATTAAATTGATCAACAATGATAATGAAGATGAAAACTGCATGCCTTCAGCACCACATTACACTAACCACTGTAGACTACCATGGAAACAAGGGTTATCAAACAGTCGGCGCTAAACTATCAATATGGAGCAGAGTAACAGGAGACGCAGTTTGGAGAGGACACAGGAACAAAACAGATTGTTTAACTAGTAAAAGGGACAGAAAAGGATTAGTAGTCTGTTGGGCATTGCTATCATAAAGCCCTGTATGGGAGAAGGGTTACCTGCGCCTGGCGGGCGGGCTACCACGACGCCCACGATGGTCATCTCGAGGACGTCTGCTCCATGAGGGAGGAGGACCCCGGTTGCGGGTGCGTTTCTCACCATTGGACAGCTCCACTCGCACACGGGAACCACTTAGTGTCCTGGAAAGATCAATATGGTGTTACCGCAGGGCATACTGTTAAACAGTCACCAAAACATTATGGCATGCATGGCCTTGTTTCACCCCCTTTCAGGTCATTAAATGGAGGCAAGTGGCAACTAAAATTAATAGGTAGTCCTTCCAAATATCAGAGTGGAAACAATGATCTCCAAGTAAACTAGGCTCTGTCATTAAGTTATTTTATACCAAAGTATAAAGCACATGTGGATCATTTGCATTCATATGGACAAACCAGAAAAGCTACTTCAAACAGTTCCGGAACACAACTCTGAAATGATCTGCATTTCTTTTGTCAAACTGTCAAGTATATTGGCATGCAAATGATGCAAGGAACAAAATCCTGAGTAATGACCTCTCATTTCAACAGGCCTCAATTTCCTGATTCTATCATTGTTATTTTTCCACCAGAGGAACTTGTTCTTAGGTTTTACCTTCCATCAAGTTCTCTCACTGCGTCGGTTGCATCCCTTGGATCTTCAAATTCCACAAAAGCAAAGCCTGGGGGGTTCCTAGCTACCCAGACACTACGAAGTGGCCCATAATAGCCGAATGACCTCTCCAGCTCTGTCTTATTGCCATTACTCCCCAGGTTTCCCACGTAGACCTTGCAGTCGAGAGGGCAATCCCGGTGCATGGCTGGATCTGTAAAAATATTAAACAGCATGTATGTTTTGCTTTCTAGGAATCATTATCCAAAAGGCAGCCGATCAGCAAATTTACTTAACTTTTAAGACATGCACCTGTAAAAAGAACCTGGGGTTCAATTGCATTCAGATAGACGCGAACTAGAAAAGCTACTTCAAGCAGTTCTGGAACACACACCTAATTATGTGAATTTCTTGTGTCAAACAGTCAAGTGTATTGGCATGCAAGGAACAAAAAGTTTAGTAATTACCTCCCATTTCAACAAGCCTCAATTTTCAAAACACAAATTGATACTCCGCAAACGTGAATGAGAAACTGAAAGAAGATTTGTCCATTTAGATTTTCATGTAGTACACATTTTCCACACATCACACAACATGACAACAATGTATATTCAAGTAGGCCTATAGTCTGTTCATAACACACTTAGATAAAAATGGTCCTCCACATACAATTAAAGCCACATTCAAACAGCCAGGTGTGTTTATAACAGTCAAGCAGATTTGTATAATTATGGCTGAATTTGGGGTAGGCAACAATAGGCCATAAAGCAAGGGGTGTGGAAATGCATAGCACATGGAAATGCATTGCGGGATTTCTTCTTATTTCCATGAACTAATAGCTAATTGGTTCTGCTATACTGCAATAACAGAACGTAAGCTATAATAACAGGGTAAAACAACTAGCTAGTCTTCTGACCAAACGTTGGTTAACACCATTCTCACCTCCGGCCTTTGTTCACTAACTTCACAATGTAAAATGGAAGAATGGGCCTTGCTAAGATAACCCTCGACATTTGCTGGCTCCCTCCCCAGTCCCTGTACTGACTAGTTCACAATTTGCACATGCCATGGCTACGTGTGAGAGAGTATAATTGCGTAGAGTATAATTGCAAATTAACTGCAACATAATCAGTTACTTGCTGCGATACAGTTGGTCTAGCCATTTCAGCTACTCGTTAGCTAGCTACCAGAAGAAGAAAAAAAGGCTACTAGCTAGCGCTTCTGCTAGGGCAAGGTAGCTAATATGAATACAAGAGAAATATCAAAGAAACAACATGAATCGCTAAATAGAAATACGTGCCACACTTTGTATTATTTAGAGGTGTTATTTACCGTAATGTATTGTAAAACAAACACTGATACTCGATTCGTTTGCTGTCCTTCGTCGAAACGCCCGTCTGTATCTGCTAGCTACGATAAAATGGAGACCGGAAATCTTTATGGAGTGTGTGCACTGTCTGTCTGTCTTACGTAATTGACCGGATATGATGTCCTTCTTCTTCTTCTTCTTCTATGATATCATGGCGGTCCGCAAACAATCGTTTTAGTGCATGCCGCCACCTACTGTGCTGGAATGTACGATCAATCATTGATCTGCCCGATTCTGTACTACATGAAAATTAAAAACAAAATAAATCCCTAACTTCTACCACACCCTCCCCCCAAACCCCATTAAACTTGATCTATATCATGCTGAAACATTCCACCCTTAGGATTGTTCAGCATGTCAACAATCATTTCAACAGTATCTGTTACCCCCAATATCGCTTTTGCCTTCGCCACAATAAACTTCAACCTGGCATTTCTGGTTTCCACAACCTGAGTCGTATTGATTACCTTACCAATAAACGCTATGAAGTCAACTTTATTCATTATCAAAGTGTCCTTTGACACCACACATTCATGAGCACAAGATTTCTGAACAGGCCTCGAAACAATGCCAGGACCATCAGAAGCACCAGCCCTGACAGTAGGTCCACTTACTACAGGGACATCCATGTAAGCTCCATCAGTCCGCACTGTAGTTCTACCAATCTGTTTTACGGCCTCTGCATACGATACATCATAACTAATACTATATCTCTGAGCCTCTCTAGGCTCTCTCTGTACCTGGCATCCACCAAATGCTGCACTGTGTTCTCCCCCACAATTACAGCACTTAACCTTTACATTGCTTCCACATTCACCATAATCACTTCTTTGACCCTCTTTCCTACTGATCAACCTTTTGGCCTCAATCACTCTGCCTCCCTTCACATTTTCTTTAATATAATCTGTGGACATGGATATTGGGATGACAGGATATGTTGGCTGACGGGATTGGTTCCACCCTGAGATGTATGGGGTTTCCACTAGGTACCACAGCCACAAAGTCAAAATTGGCTATATCGTAAAAATTCAATTTTCATTCAGAACCGAAAATGAACCTGATATCAATGTCCGGAAAATACATATTTTTACGTTTCATTCAGAACCTAAATTGAACCTAACTTCCATGTCTGTTCAACATCATTTTGCTTACTGGGACTATTCTTGTAGGGGTGGCTTTTTTTGTTTGTTGCCTAGGGTGGCATAACGGCCAGGGCCTGCCCTTACGGGGACACCACCCCTCAACACACCCTGTAACTCTTCTGAAGTCAAATCTCGTATACCCAAATACTTCTCTGCAGCTGCCACCAGAACATCTATTTTCTGTGATTTAGGTTCCATCTCTGCAGTACAGTTGATAACCATTGCTATGAATGCTAAGAAGAAGCCTCAGCATTGTCTCAATGAAGAGTTCCGCATTCGACTGGCACGTGCAGTTACAAGTCTGCTAGAGTTAGCGGCAGGCGGACGAGCAATATCCACTGTGGTAGTACAGATGAAGACTGAGCTGGAATGTGAGGCTAACTGAAGCTGGTTAGCTTTAGAAAACCCAGAGTAGATCTATCTTGCTTCATTGGATACCCCTCAGGTCAAAGCTAGCTGAGTAAACTCAAATCCATATTGCAGGGGTGTCAAACTCATTCCATGGAGGGCCTAGTGTCTGCTGGTTTTTCCTTTCAGTTAAGACCCAGACAACCAGGTTAGATGCCAGCTGCCCAGCATAGGGCAACCTGTCATCAGCATCTGGCTCTCCGAGCCGACGAGGCCTACCCCAAACTATTCAATACAATTTCATATTGTATTCTGTCTCTGTTGTCATTCAGTTAAGCCTGTACTCGATTGAACTTGGTATTTTTTATTTTTTAGGGGGTAGATCAGCTTTAATATTGCAGATAGATTGTAGCTTCCATCAATGTCATTGTCTGCATCACTTCCAATCACTACCAGTCAAAAGTTTGGACACACCTACTCATTCAAGGGTTTTTCTTTATTTTTACTATTTTTTACATTGTAAAATAATAGTGAAGACATCAAAACTATGAAATAACACATATGGAATCATGTAGTAAACAAAAAAGTGTTAAACAAATCAAAGTATATTTTATATTTGAGAATCTTAAAATAGCCACCCTTTGCCTTGATGACAGCTTTGCACACTCTTGGCATTCTCTCAACCAGCTTCACCTGGAATGCTTTTCCAACAGTCTTGAAGGAGTTCCCACATATGCTGAACACTTGTTGGCTGCTTTTCCTTCACTCTGCAGTCCAACTCATCCCAAACCATCTCAATTGGGTTGAGGTCGGGTGATTGTGGAGGCCAAGTCGTCTGATGCAACACTCCATCACTCTCCTTCTTGGTCAAATAGCCCTTACACAGCCTGGAGGTGTGTTTTGGGTCATTGTCCTGTTGAAAAACAAATGATAGTCCCACTAAGTGTGAACCAGATGGGATGGCGAATCACTGCAGAATGCTTTGGTAGCCATGCTGGTTAAGTGTGCCTTGAATTCTAAATAAATCACAGACAATGTCACCAGCAAAGCACCCCCACACCATAACACCTCCTCCTCCATGCTTCACGGTGGGAACCACACATGCGGAGATCATCCGTTCACCTACTCTGCGTCTCACAAAGACACGGCGGTTGGAACCAAAAATATCAAATTTGGACTCATCAGACCAAAGGACAGATTTCCACCGGTCTAATGTCCATTGCTCGTGTTTCTTTGCCCAAGCAAAGTCTCTTCTTCTTATTGGTGTCCTTTAGTAGTGGTTTCTTTGCAGCAATTCAACCATGAAGGCCTGATTCACGCAGTCTCCTCTGAACAGTTGATGTTGAGATGTGTCTGTTACTTGAACTCTGAAGTATTTATTTGGGCTGCCATCTGAGGTGCAGTTTACATTTTACATTTACATTTTAGTCATTTAGCAGACGCTCTTATCCAGAGCGACTTACAGGAGCAATTAGGGTTAAGTGCCTTGCTTAAGGGCACATCGACAGATTTTTCACCTAGTCGGCTCGGGGATTAGAACCAGCGACCTTTCGGTTACTGGCACAACGCTCTTACCCACTAAGCTACCTGCCGCCCAAATTACTTGCCGATTGTTACTTGCCGATTTCTGAGGCTGGTTACTCTAATAAACGTATCCTCTGCAGCAGAGGTAACTCTGGGTCTTCCTTCCTGTGGCGGTCTTCATGAGAGCCAGTTTCATCATAGCGCTTGATTGTTTTTGCGACTGCACTTGAAGAAACTTTCAAAGTTCTTGAAACTTTCCGTATTGACTGACCTTCATATCTTAAAGTAATGATGGACTGTTGTTTCTCTTTGCTTATTTGAGCTGTTCTTGCCATAATATGGACTTGGTCTTTTACCAAATAGGGCTATCTTCTGTATACCACCCCTACCTTGTCACAACACAACTGATTGGCTCAAACGCATTAAGAAGGAAATATATTCCACAAATTAACTTTTTAACAAGGCACACCTGTTAATTGAAATGCATTCCAGGCAACTACCTCATGAAGCTGGTTGAGAGAATGCCAAGAGTGTGCAAAGCTGTCATCAAGGCAGGGTGGCTACTTTGAAGAATCTCAAATATAAAATATATTCTGATTTGTTTAACACTTTTTTGGTTACTACATGATTCCATATGTGTTACTTCATAGTTTTGATGTCTTCACTATTATTCTACAAATTAGAAAATAGTAAAAATAAAGAAAAACCCTGGAATAAGTAGGTGTGTCCAAACTTTTGACTTGTACTGTACGTGAGAATGTTAATTCCATGTGTTTGGGCTAGGTTGTAGTTTCACCCATTCCAATTAGTGGATTTGTTTATTTCAGCCACACCCGTTGCTGACAGGTGTATAAAATCGAGCACACAGCCATGCGATCTCCATAGACAAACACTGGCAGGAGAATGGCCTTATGAAGACCTCAGTGACTTTCAACGTGGCACCATCATAGGATGCCACCTTTCCAACAAGTCAGCTAGTCAAATTTCTGCCCTGCTAGAGCTGCACCGGTCAACTGTAAGTGCTGTTATTGTGAAATGGAAACGTCTAGGAACAACAACGGCTAAGCCGCGAAGTGGTAGACCACATTAGCTCACAGAACGGGATCACCGAGTGCTGAAGCGCGCTGCGCTTAAAAATAGTCTGTCCTCGGTTGCAACACTCACTACAGAGTTCCAAACTGCATCTGGAAGCAGCGTTAGCACAAGAACTGCTCGTCGGGAGCTTCATGAAATTGGTTTCCATGGCCGAGCAGCCGCACACAAGTCTTAAGATCACCATGCGCCATGCCAAGCGTCGGCTGGAGTGGTGTAAAGCTCGCCGCCATTGGACTCTGGAGCAGTGGAAACACGTTCTTTGGAGTGATGAATCACGCTGCACCCTCTGGCAGTCCGAACTGACAAATCTGGGTTTGGCGGATGCCAGGAGAACTCTAGCTGCCCGAATGCATAGTGCCAACTGTAAAGTTTGGTGTAGGAGGAATAATGGCCTGGGGCAGTTTTTCATGGTTCGGGCTCCTTAGTTCCAGTGAAGGCAAATCTTAACACACATCATATTCTAGACGATTCTGTGTTTCTAACTTTGTGGCATGGGACTCCAAGAGCTAAGGATCGTTTTTTAAGGAGAGGCCAGCGTAGTGGTGGGACCTCCGAGCCCCTACCATGTCCCTGCCCCTTCTACCAAGTTTGTCTTCTTGCATGTCCTCTCATTATATCCCCTAGCCGCTGGGCCTCAATGCTACACTGTTGTGTACGGATGCATGTCAACGTTTCTGACTACAGCTGCCTGTGATCTTAGTGTCGTCGACTCGTCATGAGTTGCTGTCAGCCAGGCTGCAAAACTCCATGCATGTCATTCTCCAATATCCATCTTGCTGTCTGCACTGTCTTCAGTCTGAGATTATCAGATTTGTGTTATTCTCACTTTGTCCAACAGGTGGTGCAATTAAAGCACAATCAAGTCATGAAACCTAATAGATGTGTGTATTTTGTGACCTACTACAATATTCTGAGCATAAAATGCTCTCCTTGCTGGGTTTATGATTTACCTATATAGCAGGGGCAGATCATCATGCAGGTGCCCATGTCTG